ATTACCTTTCCCCCCCCCCGACCCAAGACCCCTGTTACGCGCCTGCTTATAAGTGGGGCCCCCCACTTTGAAAAACGTTCCGCCGGCCCTGATGAGCTATTTGCAATTTGCATTTGACATTATGCTAAACAGTGATCTCAATAGGAACTCGGCCACAGTGGCTTGCCATAGGGGTTTGGAAGCTATTGTCAGAGACGGTCATAGACTACTACCAGATCTTAATCAAGGAATTCTAAATTTTGATGAAATTGACTCACGCCAAAAAGTTAATCTTCTGTTTGCCACATTACGCACAGAAGGTTCATGGACGTATTTTGTAACACTTACTTGCAATGACAGTGCTACACCTGGTTTTGCTCCAATTCGCAAAGCTAGTCAATCGAATCCACACTTGCACGAGTAAGGTGTTCAAATATGACCATGTGGTCAGCAGACAGTGCATTCCCTTATGAAGGATGGACTGATTTCCACTCACCAAGATTATGACCAACTCCTTCAACTTGCAAACACACTCCAGAAACATAGTTGCAATAAGGCAAGCTTCAAATGTATAAAACGCAAAGCAAAAGACGACTCATTAATCTGCCGTGTACCTAAACATCCACCCTCTTTCAAGTATTTCTTTGAGGACCATGGCATTCTCTACCCAGAAAACACATACCATCAACTCGCATATCTCAATTTGGCTAAACCGTGCAACTGTGCAAAACATTGGCAAACAACTTCACAATTCACCGCAGGCATATGGCATTATCCAGCCCAACCACATGAACACTTTGTGCCAGCAATACCCGTTTATTTGTAGCGATGAAATCCTCCACAAACGTACAAGTTTGTGACAGGAAATTTCAGGTTTCCTATCTTGCCAAATACACAGCTGGTACAGATGAAAAACGACCACTTAGTGTTTCTCCATCAAAAACACAAGATGAGGTCGAAGTTATCCTTCATAATCCCATCAATTTAAAAATCACTGGTCAGCGCAAACATCCAAAGAACCAAACACACAATAACATAGCCAGAGAGATTGCACTCACAGAAATGATATGGTATACCATCAAATTTCCATATGTCATTTCAACGTCTGATACTGTGCATGCTTCAACCAAAGCACCAGAATACAGATCAGCCATTGTAAAACGTCGAAAAGCCTATTGCAAAAACCTCAACCCACAGGTTGGAGGTGGTGGAATGCCAGAAACCGTCGCTGCTCGTCTCGCATTTCCCCAATGGCGCCACTTTACACCATCTCAACTACACACTATTGAAAGTTATGTAAGTGGAAGCTACTACTTAGATTCAACATCATCCTTCTCAATTCGTCCACCAGAATTACTATTGTTTTCAAAAGTAGAGCTGTACCTACGATGGTTCACATGGCAGCGAAATGAGAAATCTCAACTTCAACCAACCCTTAGCTTATCCCATTGGATAGATGGAGCAAAACGATGTGTCCGTTTACGACATCCTCATGTAACCAATGCTGCTGACTTTATATATCAACTACTACGTCACCCAAACCCTGAAATTGCTGGCCAAGCCACTGACTTGTACACACACATCTTTGGCCCACTTAAAACAGAGTTCAACTATATCATCCAACCACCCACTGAACACTATACACGCTTTGTTGACGTATCAAAAGTTAAGCGCAACGTAGTGGTCTTCACCACCCCTACTCCTACAAACATTGGATGAACCAATGGGAGGTATTGTGATTATTGCAACAGGTGATCCCCATCAGTTAACTCCTGTAGATGGAACTCCTTTTTGGACAAGTCAGCATCTAATGTGTTCTTTTCAAATTCTCGCAATGAATCATTATGTTCGCTCTTCAACAGACAATGACTTACAACGCATCATCACCATCATGCGTAAAATTACCATCACGCCTCAAGAAGTACAGGAAGTAGTCGACATAATCAACACACGTTGCATTCCACGTGCTGTGTCCACATGGGATCAAGTACCACCACATGTTTTGAAAATTGTTGGGACAAAGGCTGCTTGTGAAGAAATTATCTCTGAATATATAAGGAGAAAAAAAGATGACCCAACAATTTACTCAAGTACCTACAGAGCTAATGATGAAGCTGAGACACAAAATCAAATTTGAGGTGAAGTAACCACATCTGTTCAATCAGAACTCAACAGAGCTTGCCTAGAACAACAGCAACTCTTTCTTTTTAGGGGCCAAATTGTAAGACTAACATACAACAACACTCATGCCACTGCAACAATGCCCTCTTTTTCTCAGGGTCAACTGTGCATAGTGGAACAACTCCCAGATGATTCTTCACCAAAACTAACTCTGAAGCTTCTACCCGCTGGCCATCGCAACATTCATACTACAGACGATTCTTCTACTTGCCCCATTTTCAACCTCTACCCAGCACCAACACCTTTAATCATTGTTGGTAGCGGCCATATAAAGGCACGCCGCATCCAATATCGAGTTACCTACTATGTTTGCAGCACTGTTCATCAGTCTCTTGGAGAAACATGTGCCAATACAGCAACCCAGATATCCTGTCAACACCGTAAATACAGGCTATGGGACAGACAACAACTCCTAGTCCTGATTAGCCGTGTTCCATCCTTGGATAATATTACATTTGTTACTGACGACCCACATGACACTTTGCTGGCTATTCAAAAAACTACTGCAAAAAAACCCACCATGCGCACAACACATTGATAAAATCCTTAAAGCTCTCCACACTAACCGCGACACAGCAATAATAACCCATGTTCATAACCCTCACAAATCCATCGATATCACACTACACCTGCCTACAGCCACAGTCGGTTACGTATATATGCTCATCAGTTCCACTAATCGAAACTTTGCATATGTTGGAGAAACAGCAAATGTATGACGACGACTGCAACAACACAACACTGGACAAGGTTCCCGTTTTACAAATCAGCCACACCTACGTCCTTGGCAGTGCTTTATTATAGTGTACCGCTTCCCCGGAAATGCTCAAAATCCACAGAACATTGCTGCAAGAAAGCAATTTGAAGCACGGTGGCATCAATTAAATGGCCAGGCCGTTGCCCCAGACAGCAGAATTATTTACACAAACGGCAGAATTGTATTTCACCAATTCCAAAATAATTATCCAGAATTATTATGGGAAGAACTCGGCCAACTACACGAATAATGTAACTGCTCCACTGTAAGTATCCATACCTTCTCATTCACAAAACCCCACTCCTCACCATCGCATGCCTACTTCTCCTGTTATCACATCGACATCAGCACTTAGTTGAGAGGCAGCACTGTTTGGCATCGCCAACATTGCTGCCTCTCACAATACACCAAATTCTAACTTATCAAAATGTACCTTCCCCACTTCACTCACTTTCAATATCGCTCTTATGTTAACCCTTTCTGTACACTTACATAAGACCAATAAATAACACAAAAATCTACTCATTATAACAGCTCCGTTATTACATAACAACATACAGTTGTTACATCTTGCTTCATTTTTCATCTCATTCCATTTGTTTCCTCTTAGTCTAATGTTGCTACTCACATTGAGTCGCGTCCTTCACTCGCCAAATATCACCTCCAACATTAAATTTTGTTACTACTACACAGAACATAAACTGAATACACCAGTACTAGGGACTAATAACCACATCAAAATGTCTGCTCCGTCTTAATCAACTAACCCAACACCATTATTAAAAAGAACAAAAATCCCCACAACTGTTATTCTTTTCCTTCTGCTTAAAACACACTTCATAAATAAAGTGCTCTCATTTCTTCATGTACTTTTTGACACCATTTCAAAACAATTTTACTAAATTCACATTCTTCACTAATAACAACAATTGTTATTCACATTTCAAATATTGACATCACTTTATCTATTATTTATTACAGTGTACATCTTCAATGCACAAAATGCTCTCTCAGTACATTGAACTGGGAAACTTGCAAAGTGCCATGGACATTTTTAATCACGAAATTATAAAGGATGTGACACTTACCAACCTAATCTCTACTCCAGCGGACAGTGTCAACTCAAGAGTATTAGCTGAGATACTTCGTATCAAAAAACAAAAACCAAAAAAGGCAACACGTGAGAATAAATTCCTGAAATTCGAGAAACAATATGACCGCCTAATTCTCTTAAGGTAACTACATTCAACATTTGTTACTTGAACACCACAACAACACACTATCACCGATTCCACAATCAAAAGGTGCTTTCAGTTCCAGTTTTAGCTTCATGTTTTCTAACTCTCATCAATGATATATTTACATTTATGTAACTACAAAATGCATATTCTCTCCAAGAACTTCTCCTTCTAATAATGATACTTTGTCACTTTCAGAGAGCTAAGAGGTGGCGATCTGTTTTATGTTTTTACAACCTCATCACAGGACACCCGTCAACTATTCAAAATTCAGAATATCACATGGATTGGTGCCAATGTCGGCCTGTTTGAACCAGAATACAAATCAATGTACAACAACATACCAATCATTGAACTGCAACAACCCTTTCTTCCCATTCAAAATACACTTGCTACAATGTGCACTAGGCCTTATGTTGCCGAATACACTGATAAACCAACGCCAAGAGCTCTATACATGGAGGCAGCCAACATCACAATAACCAAGGCTAATATAATCATAGGATGTGGAGCAACACTCTGCGACTCCCAACACGAAAGCACAACACCATGCCCAGCCACCATAACCGAAGATATTGCTACAAGAATCCTTTCTTGCAGAATATCATCCACAGAGGTCAATATTACTCGTGTGCCATTCCAGTCAGCTGCATTCACAGCACTGTTTCTGTCAAAGCAAGCCATAAAAACACATGTACGACTCCAAAAATAAAACTACCATTACACCAAAAATATTTCTATTACCAAAGTCAAAATATTCAATAACACATTATCATTGTTTGACCTTTTCAACTCGTGCCACAATTTGTTAGTTTGGCAACTAAACCAGGAAAACTCATTATGATTTCATCACAGTTTTCACAACCATATTTTACATTACTTCAAAGAAAAATAAAAATCAAACAATACCTTCATTTATTACACAATGTCAAAATATATAATCCAACAGTAAATTCCAACAAACCCACTAAAAGCAACTGCATTGCCAGATTTCATAACATTGCTGGTCATTCAGCCTTGGCCAAACAAAGGCAGTTTATTCCCATTACTTCTGAAATTCCTATCCCTTTTTTATTGCTACCACTTCCAGACCTTGCATTATTACATAGACCCATAAAGTCAAACCTACATGTGCATAATATTTACAGACTAGTCACACCCACCACCATTTTACATTAATTTCACACAACCACTCTCATTTCATACTCATTCACCAATCCTTTGCATTTAAATATACTATCATATACATACACACTATCTCAATAAAATTAATTTTTACTCCCTGCAACCCACTTATTATATTTCCACTATTCAATTTCATCACATGTATGTAATGTCTACATTTCTTATTTTTATATCCAGACGACAGGCCCTCTCTTGCCAGTGTTGGAAGTACGTCAGCATATCAACTCTGTGATTGATTATTATAAACAGCACAACACAACATGGAAAATTTCTGGCTGGTACAAGCCTGGTACTCGCAAAAATGACGAGCATGTGCGCGAACCAAACTTCCACATCACTTCAATAAAACCCCAACAAAATTTGCCAAATGCACCATTGTATGAAGTACAACAACAGTTTCCACGAGAGCAAGTCCAAGTCGCAATTGAAAGACCATGTCACAGGCCATGTCAACCACCAACAACACAGCCTACAACAGATTCTGCTGCAGCATCCAATGTGCAAACCAACGTTCCTTCAACCGGTCGCCATACATACGATCGCATGCACTAACAATTTTGGAGCCTACAGAAAATAATTAGGTACAGGTCTAAAGATTAAAAAGTACCAAGACTCAACCTGTACAAATCTAACCACAAGTAAACATTAAAGCATACAGTAAAATTTGAACATTAAGCTAGACATATTACATATCGTGAAACAAATGTCCAAAATGTGTCCACTACAGAAAATATGCATTGTTTAGTGTTTACAAAGTTTCATGTACGTAAATTTAGCCTAAAATGTTTAGTACATATTTTCAGCACATAACATTGTTCTTTAGCAGAATGAATGTTCCAAATATGTGTCTTGCAATATATGTCGGCTTTCTGGAGGTTTCAGGACTATGTACATTTAGTATAAAAGTTTAATACATATCTTCAAGACATGTAAAATTATTATTTAGTAAAATAAGTGTTTTTCTAATTTGATTATTAAAAAGTTTGGTTTAAGGAAGTTTTAGTAGTACGTTAATCTTCTTTGAAATTTTTTAACACATACCTTTAACACATATTAAAATTGATATTTTAGTCAAATAAATGTTCCAAATATGTGTATTACAAAAAATATCTTTACTTTTATGAAGTTTCACCTGTATGTAAAACACAATAATTTGTATACATATATCTATTTGGACTCATTTAGTGCAACTTTCACAAATGAAACCATGACCACTTTGCTGAACGTCATCTTTTCACAGCATATTGCCCTTGCACATGTAATTTACAAAAACATCTCTTTGATGTATTACACGTCCCACAAACCTAGTCACATTGATACCCAGTGCAGTTGATTTCATCATTAAGACAGCCATCACCTTCAGCATTAAACTTCAATTTCCTCATTCAAATGCTCAAAAATTCATAACACATCACTTGACATAGATTTCAAAATGAAAATCCTCAGGATTTCTACTTCATGCAGTACAAAAAAATTACTAAACCATTTCTTTTTCTTTAGCAAACAGTTTATGGCTTCAAATTCGTAAAATACAGATACTTATTTCAAAATCAGCTTCATTTCTTACATAATTCCCACACAACATTAGTAATTCTGAACACGAGTTGTTCACCTCTGCCATTGACATTCTCTTCATCAAATTAAAGTGCAGTATTTGCAAAATTCGAAAAAAGTTCCCTACATTGTCTTTCAAATTTGTCACTCTTGCATTACTGCCTACATTTCTTTTCTTTTCTCAAACTCCAGAACATACACATGTCTAAAAAAAAACAAAAAAAAACTACATATATACTCTGCAACTTCTATAAGTGTATATATAACCACAAACACGCTGCCTTTTCAATCATTAAACATTATAGCCTTACAGGTATATCTATTCCGTTGTATTATTGTTCAGCAGAAGTACACAACTTCAGCACTTTCATTGATCGCAAGGCATACTAGCCATTACTACTAGCTATCAAGTTCAGAATATTCTTTTAGTCCCTTGTTACAGCGTTTGCATCCCCTCTTGCCTTATGAACACCTTAATTCCAAGTAATTGCATCCATATCTTCGCTAATTAATCAACGTAATTTACCTTACATTTATGCATGAAATAACTGCAGCACTTCATTTCGACACACAACATTCCCCCAACCTTTTTCATGCATTACATAAATACTTTTACTAAAATAAATAGTTGCTGTACTCCAACATCAATAGCGCATAAACACAACAAACTCACTGCACGCCATTTCCTGTCAACATTACTCTCCATAACGCATCACCCCCTAGTTCCGTTACCTCTGGATTTCTCAATGGTACTTTGTTTATAAACACATCACACCACATTGTCATTTAGGGGATTAGGGAACTCCCCAAGGACTCCCCAGAAATGGCGTCGACAACAGAGGGCGCCATTCTTCTTGGATAGGGTTATAGGCCAGGCCTACGTGTTTGCAAAACTGGATAAAATGAAAAAAAAAAAAATTTAAATGTATGGCTCGCGTATTGGCTCGCATGACTTGCTGGCTCGCACTATGTCAGGACCCAGTGTGGTGTCACTTGTTAGTGATGTTGTGTGGTGGGTTACAAACCGAGGCCCAGCCAGCCTCTAGTTAGGCTAAGCTAGTAGGCTTAGCTAGGCCATGTAGGTTAAGGCAGGCCTAAAAAATCGGGTCCTACTAAATACCACACGGAACACACGGGACCACTCGCGACCACTCG